CAATATCCACTGGTTAAAATAGAAGAATGGTCGCTGGAGAAAGTTTATGACGTTGTTTAAATGCGTCGTAGATAGGACAGCAAAAAGGATTTCTTTGCGCATGACATGCAGAAGAAACTACTAGGGTAGCTGAAGAAGTCTTTTGCCCACGTCCTCTCTGCTCCGTGCAAATTTCTTCGATCTGGGTCCTTTGCAAGTGCGTCAGACCTATCATGTACAGCATTCAAACCGCGCGGGTTTGATAATGCCCGTTTCGTTTTTAAGCACGCTCACTTATAACACGATTTCCGCCGAAGAACTATGTCTACTCTACCAACAATTGTGACTTTTAGAATTAAATATGCCATTTGTGATTCGTCTATGACTCGAACACACTATGGCTTTACACAGTATCTGGTCTGTCTTAAATCAATCAAAATAATGAGATATATTTTCAACTAGAATGGAATAAATAGGTGGGATTTTAATATCGACTATCATATAAAAATAATCGCGAAATGTTTTAATGACGCCAGGCCGTGACTTCTGCACGGATTACATTCTTACCGTTTGCTAAAACAATATCGGTAAAAAGCGACTTTTCTCTTATTTTTACTGATTGTCCACGCAATTATGTATACGTATATATATGTATATATGTGCACATATGTGAAGTAGGTCAGACGTAATCGAGTTGCCTAAACGGTCATACGAAACTAACAAAGCCTACTGATATTCAGGCTATACATTATGACCAAATGTAATAAAAGTTTCGTAGAGCACAATCAGAGTACAATATAATTGCTACCTCATGACATTTTAACTTAAGTTCTTAAATATGCTCTTTATTCAAAAATATCGCTTAATTGGAGCAGTAGGATTAACCATAATGCAGCATGGTCCAAAATTGTTTCAGTCCTGCTTGAATGAGGGCTTTTGAGAGGAATATTTTCAACTGTCTGAGAAACTATGTTTTTTTTAAAAAAATATTCACCCGAGCAGTATCGATTATAACCATTGATTTTTGATGCCATTAGAAGTACAACTAAAGTATGCAAACAGGACGCGCAAAAGCACTCTTCAGTGTTCTCGGTTTGTAGCAAATTACGTTTATTTAATGGCTTTAACTGGAAGGGACAGTAGATTTTGGTTTTGAAAGGGTTTTTTATGATCATGCTTTTATTACCATAAAATGTCCATTCCTGCAGCATCTCACTAGCACGCCTGTCAATGGTACTTGAAAAGTAAACAGCCTGTTTCACGGCTACTTTTCGAGTTTTATAGTTCCATTGTGATCTCTTCCAAAAAGCGTTAATAAATATCTGATACCCGTTTTCTAGATGGTATAGGACGTGTATATTGAAAACCCCAGATGCAAATGTAACGGAAGGTGGAAACGAATTTTTTTGAGAACCAAGAAAATTGAATTTACAAGGATGTCAAAATTCAAAGGGGAGATTGTATTACCTAAGAAGTTATTTTTACAGAGTCTAGATTTGTCAGGCGTCCTAAAAAGCCCTTTAAAACATCGATATCTTGGCGTGACACAACTTCCTATAATAATGTTACGGTACAATTGGTCTCACGACGCCACTTAAGCAAACCTTTCAAAATGAAATCTTATTTTAGAATTTTGACTAAAATTTTATGAGATAACACATTTACTAAAGGTAGTCAATGCACCGCCCGCGTCTTTCAATACATTTAAAAGCTTTATGAATGATCCTGTGCAAGAGTCACCTTTTTCTGCTACTGCCTCTGATGATGGATTCAAGTGAGAATCCGAAACGTCAGGCGAATAAAGACCTTGTTCCAGCGATAGATTCTTCTTCTGATCAAGTAGTTCCTGGAACTCGCATCTTTTCTTGTATCGGCACGGTGGATAGTGTCGAAACCGACGGTCGTACTGCCGTTTCGAAATGAATAGTCACAGTTAATAAGCTGTTTTTTGAAACAAATATAATCTGCTGTGCACGCCTTTTAAAAATTCATAATGGGAAAAATTGCTTCAAACAAACTGGGTGGCAGATTTTTAACGAATGCGATTTTAACGACGGCTTAAACAATCGTAGGCATCCAGGCGCGATTGAAATGTTTTGCAGATAACATGGCCCTAAAGTCAAAAGCAGAGCTCCTCTAATCAAAAAAAAATTTAAAATTGTGGTTATCACTTTAGGAGATTGTATAGAAATATAGAAATATGTATATAGTATATATAGTATAGTATATAAAGTATAGAAATATGAGCGCCAAAGAGTTAAATTGACAGTATGATTTCTCTGCAAAGCGCGATTTATCAATGTGGATTTTTATAATTCTCGCAATGAGGTCATTCTCGTCCTTTAATACAATTTATCGATACTTGCAACGCAAACTGTTTAAATAATTCTCAGGGATCCCATTACCGCTCTATAGTAAATATTCTGAGACTGTGATATAACCTTGCTTTAGTTGCGCTTAATTTTGCAATTGTTAAGAACTTAAGGCAAGCGCGAGTTTCAAAAAGGCAGGAACGAGTATGTTTTAATGTAAATGTCGCAAAGAAGACAAGGCCTCTGTCGGCAGATTAGTTTTCAGGAATAACACTTGAAGGTGTCCTGAATAAATAACCTTATTACAGCGCATATAAATTACGGTAAATTGCAGGTGGGTTAAAGAAAAATAATGGTCAAGTTTGAGGTTAAACTTAAGAAAAATGAAAAGCGTGAGGCAACCTGAAACATAAGGGTGTGCATATTCTCCGGTCCCACCAGCAAGCGCTATCAGATTATGCCTGCGGACAGGAAAACAAGTCGCCCCTGACTTGGTTTTATAGAGATATGAGATTGCAAAGTAGTCCCCGAAATTCCAACGTCAGGGGCTTGTATGGGGCACACCCCGCGGACAAGCAGGTCGTCTGCTGAAGTACCTGGTGGAAGTTACTTCTCCGACAGACGCTAAGAAAATGCCAAAATGTCATTTTTGTCCAGCATACGTCTAAATGGCTGCTTACGTCGGAAAAATCCCGTCATTAGGTATAATGCATTCCTAGTTATTTACGCTTTTGCGTACTACCAAAGTAGCATGTTGCGCATAGTAACTTTGGTCCTGTAGGTTCTCGCATGGTTTGCTTGAAATTATTCAAATTACTCGCAATTTCCCCATTTTTTATAATTCACTCAAATGTAGAAACTGATATGTCGCACCCAAGATCTTTTCACATCTGGATACATCATTTGTAAACGGCAGGGTGTACAAACCTTTTAATTTGAGCTAACCTGTGGACTGTGTCCCGCATTGAATAGTGTTGGGGAGGGTTATACTGGTGCCGCGACGCACATAGGACAGAGAACAAAAAAAACTTCTGCCGAGGGTCTCATCGTACGCCAGCAATTGAAAAAAACAGTGAGCGCGATAATTAACAAACAAAAAAATCAATTTTCAAAAAATAACAGACTGAATTAACCGCTGCTGGTAGGTTTTTATTTAGTCAGGTAGGCAAGGAAATTTCGACCAATAGAAACGATTAATAGTGAGTTATTTTTACAGTCACGCTGGATTTTTTTGTACATTTTGGAGTCACTAGCTTCTGAGGATCCTACACCTTACCGTTACCTTTAGTTTTTTGAATTCTCAGCTGTATTGACATTTAAAGTGCGGTAAGTAATCGATGTCTTCTTTCCAGCTAAATTTAGGTTTTGACAGGACTGACTAATAGGTGCCCATCTAATATTTCTTATTATTCCGTGATTTGAATTGATCTTCTTTTGCAAAATCCAATACTAGTTTTTTCACGCGAGTGAACCAAATGTAACCCACTATTGAAACAATCGCTTTCGCATTGTAAAGGTACATTACTTCCGAGTTTATTTGAGTAAAAGGCTGTCTATGGTACAGACTCAAGAGCAAGCAGCTTCTTAAACGACTCTGCTATTGATATTTGTTTTCATCCGGGCAATATTTTACATTATTCACGATATTTCAACTCACAAGTGTCACATGTTCATAGATGCAAAGTAAAAAAAATGACTTCTACATAGAAATATGCAACGACGGCAAAAATATTGGGATCTTTCAAGCCCACTATTCCAATAAAAGTAAGTAGGTACTTCAGTATTTCAATGTCAGCCGGCATTGACAATTAAAACGCTGTTGATCTGTAAACTTACACGCCCACCAATCCCTTCTCTGTAGGGATCTATCAGAACCGCTCTTTTATCCACGACTTTTTGGATAATTCGTCGATTGAAATCATGTTTATTATATGTATGTCGGTAGGTATAGTATACTTTGCAATTCTCGTAATATCATTATCTTTTTTCACAGAATTAACTTTAAAAACGCATCTCTGCTGTTGAGGCCGACATGAGATGCAGGACGATTGACTGAAATCAAGTAGCAATTTAAGACTTGTTTAATTATATGGCCTCTCTGGCTGTTTGAAAGACATCCACAAGTCACCTTCGCCCAGGGGACTTATTAGTCTGAATGACGTTTTTCCTAACGACGCTGGCTGAAGATTGAAAAAAAATTCCACAATAAACAACACCTGTCAGGACAATAAACCAAAACCGTTTTTTATTTCTAAAAAAACTATTCCAGACAAATCAACTGTTTTACGGCAGTCGTAGAAAAGACAAGCGGTTCACGATTCAGGTTCGAAGCTTCAGGGCGCATTATGAAAGCAGGGTAAAGACTGCGTAAATTTAAGTCTGTTTTTTCCTTCACTCAGTCACAAAATTCCTACAACTCGCTCATTAGCAATTAATTTCGTTTACAGTGTCGTCCTCTTGCTTCTGCAAATTTTCACAGACAGAAATAGCATTGTCCCAGTTAGACGGTTACTTTTGAAAACGCAAAACTAGATTTTCTCCAAAATAAGGAGATAATAGCCACGCTGGTCGAGTTTTGATTGTAGTTTAATGTAAAACCAACAGCAACAGAGCGTCGCCGTGACCACATTGAGAAGGTGACATTAGGCCTTAATCTCGATTTACTAACCAGCATTTTATACGACAGTCCCACCGTCATTGCCGGCGATGTCAACCGTGTGCTATACGGCAAGGTGAAGCAGGCAAGGCGAATTGTGCGTGAGTTAGTTTGGACTGACAGCAGACTTGCACAGTATCTACCACACTCTCCTCCTCCTCCTCCTCCTCATCCTCCTCCTCCTTCTGCCCCACCTGGACCCGGTGTGAAGACAGAGTTAAGAAGACCAGAGGCGGAGGAGGGCGCAGGTGGATGGCAAGGTTGAGCCCGCGCATTGGCGCCCCACTGCACACCTCCTGGTCCACACAGCGAATGACCAGGTTGTGGACCAACTAGGAAAGTGGCGGAAGGGGTTCCCGCGTGCGCGACGACTGTCGGCAAACGGCTCTGCCACCGCCCACCGAAATGTTGGCGGGGGGAGGGCGCAGATGGATGGCACTGTCGAGCCCGTTCTTTGGCGTCCCACTCCACACCTCAGCAATTCACACACACACGCCCAGCCATGACAGCAGAGAGCGGACTGCGTCTAACTAGAATATACGCTTCAAGCGTATATCTCCATGTATGGACTTTGAATAAGACAGTTAGACCAATATGGAGCCTTGTGATCCAGCCTTCTGCGGCTTCATAGATCAGTCGCTGACGCACCACGTTTAGGCAACGATCTGATATGAAAGTTCCTGGTGCCTTCTTTTGTCTTCCTGTCGCCCTAAGGCATAATGGTATCCTAGGAAAATAATAGTTTTAGTGTTCAGCACCCCGACAGTACCACTACTCCCGTTGCCACCTTGACGGGGCACTCACCCGCAGATCCAATAGAGGACTGGGAACAGGCCTTGAACCAACACGAATCTTCTTACAAGCTGACGGGTCCAGACCTCCGCCAGTGGTTCGGATGATTGCATCCCACGCCGAATCGTGAGGATTCTTCTTGCACCGGCAAATCAGAGCCTCACCTCGTGAATTTTGGTGTCGTACAGCGCCGATAGTCCAGGAGACGTTAGGCCACATGGTACTCTAATGAAGGCGACAAAGAAAGCCAAACTGTCCGTAAACTTCCCGTAATACTGCGGGCCAAGTCGGTACTTTCGCTTGACTATGTTCCACCTTGCGTTCTTTCACCAAAACCGGCTTGGCTGCGGCAGCTTCCAACCGCTTCACTGTCCTGACGAGTGCAACAACTGCTTTTAAGGCATTTGCCGGTGAAACAATCTGGGCTTAATCTACGCCAATCACTGCAATCTGTGTAGTTGTCCAACTGGTCCTGGGAATTTTGAATGTATTTTTCTCGACAGTTTGTTATCCTGCCAAAAGTGTTGCTGCACTCAAGCAGTCTCTGATGATGAACTCCAGTTCGAGTTCGAAAGCTCAGGCAAATAAATCTACTGTTCCAGTGATCGTGCCTTCATCTTCTTTCAAGGATAATGAACTTTGGAGAACCTAACGCGCCATCTCAGAATAAGGTAATAGAAGACAAACGGTCTGCTGGAAAAGCTGCATACACGTAGGCCAAGAACTAACAGTTCTTATGCGCTAGCCTTTTTCCGGTGATGCGAAAATACGGGCAAATGTAAGGAACTCAAGTGTCTGTATCAGTAAGCTCGAAGCTTGGTTAAATTGCAGTCTTTCATCTCGAAAACTCTCAGAGCAGCAACTGCGAATAATACGACTAGAAGCTTGTTTCATTACCACAGAAACCAATCAGGTAGGATTTGTGGAAGAAGTGAATCAACCAGCAACACGAAAGGCGCCGTTAGATAGGGTGTTAGTGTAGAATGAATCAAATTTTTTTGACGGTACTTAGCAGAAATGAACAAATGATAATTTTATCGTCTAAAAAGGTGCGATCAACCGTCGTTATGACACCAGGATGCTACAATATAAAAGCCAAGGCTGTCCTGATAATGGTTTTTTTTAAAAGTGGGACCTCGGAACGCACAGGCGGCGAGATCAAGTGTTTTTATGCAAAAGAAAAGCTAGTGCGAATGCGCGGTTGTACATTAAATGGTTGAGAAATAGTTGCCCTAACCGCTAAGCCTAAGCCTAACACCCAAGTATAACCGCTAATCCTAAACCCTAACGCCTAGCCCTGATCTATAATTGTAACCCCTAACCATAACCGCCACCCATAGCCCCTAACCCCAACTCCTAACTCTGTCCCTTCACCCAACCCCAACAGCCCAACAGGTGAGGCTACCAGACCACATCCTATCGATTTGAGACGCAAATGAAATTCACTAAAGATGGATTAACTTCAAGTCATTTGTATCAAGAAAACAGTTCAGATTTGTGCAACATTTGACCTTTCCTGATCTTAAAGTGATTTCTTACATCACTGAAATCCATAGATGATAATGTCGTATTTATGCTCATTGTGTAGCAAGTAATGATTAATGTGAACCGGAAAAGGAAGAAATAAATCTTTTCAAGGAATTGAAAATGCGATCTGGCTTTCAGGAAAACCAGTCATCGTTTTCAAGGAAGAATTGGTGAATTCGACTTATAAAATTCTTTTTTGTAAGTTTATGGTGTGTTTTATCATTAAGCATGTCAATAAACCTGTTTGACAGTAGTTTGTTTGCCACACCGAGAGGAACTAAGCCCAGGCAATTTCTATCAGTGGCCAACAACGAAAGAATACGAAACTTAACAGGCTTGACAAAAGCGGTCCATAGGTAAGCCAGAGGACGATTTTTTGCGTCTTAGAATAAAATCGGGCGATTATATCCATAAACATAAGTATAAAATGGAACCGGAAGTAAACCTTCATCAACGGAAGGCCACGTTAAGCCGTTTTTAAATTGACAACTTAAAAAAGAACGTTTTTTACTTGCTAAGACATATATTGATTCTAGGTCCACGGTCTTAAAGAGTATTAACTTTTGCAATGACGCTTTACTTTCTGATAAGCCAATGAAGTCGACTCAGATTGTCAGATGCGAAGAAATGTCCCAAAAGAGCACACTGCGCGAATGGCAACCTTCAATAACTGTCAGCGGTTAATCGTTTGTTTAGCTAGTAAATTCAAGGGTGGCTAGTATAGCAGTCGACTATGGACACTATCAAGAATAAGGCATTCGCAAACATTGTGAAGGGTGTTTTCGGTTAACACGACATTCACTTACGCCGAACGGATGCATAACCCTGCCCGAAAATGCTCCCGTTCATCGTTCCAAAAGGTATCAATCTAACAACACTATCGGTGGTAATCTGACTTCATAGATAACAGCTAGCCTCTCGCATGTGGTCCGCAGTCGATTTTTATACCTAACAACAGCCCCGATCTCAATCATATGGAAAATCGTTTTGCCCCTATTTGAAGGCATTAACACTCGCATTGAGCAATCCATTATAGGCTATGTGGCCATCTCCGTCTCTTAAGGAGTTTTTGGCCTGGTAAGGGCAGATGGACAAACAACCAAGTACTGCTTTTTTGTACTTATCATTATTTTTCATTGTTATTTCCATTTAATGCTCCACTTTCCTATGCACCCTTGCAGTTTGCCCTATTTGAGCAATTTTTAATGAATCCGTTGCCAAAAGTTCTAGTTTTCGATGAAAATTAACTGCTTTACACTGGCAACTGAAAAGATATAAACCAAACTATGCGCTCTTTTCAACAACGATCGTTTTTTGCTTCTGTAAACTTTGCGGAACGCAGGTATGGCGGATTTTGTGTTATAGATGTTTTCTTACGCTATCACGAGGCATTTTGTGAGGTATAGCATCTACTGTATTCATGTCAAATTTATCGACACAGTGGATACCTTTTAACGCAAAGAGACCTACTGATGCGCCGAACACGTCGCAGCTATTTCACTTGTAGACAGAATATCGGCGAAACTCGTGTGTGGGCTTTTAGTTAGTATCTTTGTTGGGAGCATCGTATAATAGGTTAGCCGTATACATTTCATACCTAGGTACGGTTTACAAATTCTCCAGGGGGCTAAATAAAACCACATGGCTTGTTTTGTAATGTAGCAGTGGTGTCACATACAACAATTTCTAACGATAAGGTGTAGGCCCCCAGATGGTCGATAACTCCAGCATATATACACAAATTCCATGTGAATGAAATAATCACTTATCCTTTGCGGTTCCCATTCTTTACAAATTCCCTGTCTTATTGACTGAATATAAACTTGTCAGCGAAGGTGTTACTGAAATTCGTTACTTTTCGAAAATTGCTTTTTTCGCCTATAATTTTAAATTGTCGCGCACACTTTCACTGCCACATGACAGAACTCGATAAGACTTTTGGCAGAAATTTGTTTGCTTTCTGTATGTTTTGTATGCCACCTATCCTTCGTTCTGCGTGTTGCTACACCCGTAAGACCTCCGATGCCGCCATACAAAATATGACACGGCCCACAGGCTTGCTCAAGGTAGTTGCGGTCCTGCCCCCTACCGTTTTAAAGCAGGTGTCAAATAAGAATGCCGCTTTGGTGTCAGCAAAGGACACAAGTCGGCGTCCGCTATACCAGCAGCATTATCAGGAGTTAAGTAATCCACATATACAGTGCAGCTATCTAATGTCACTTAGCTCATTGCATGCGTTAATTGCCCTTGCATCTACAGTGGCCATACGAGTGGACACCGTGACCCACATCTAAACAAATAAACACTTGTTATCCGCCGACATGCCTTGTTGTTTCGCACGTGTGCACACGCACCTGAGTATAACCACCGATTGTGCTGGGGTAATCGCTATAGTTAAAACCAAAAAGGCAGGAGATTCCTCCGAGTTTTCATGTTCATGCACATAGTATGAAATTGTAAGCATCCAAGGATTGAATCGACAGTGTGGTGTCTCTGCAAAGCGCGATTTATCTATGTGGATTTTTATAATTCTCGCAATGGGGTAATTCTCGTCCTTTAATTCAATTTATCGATACTTTCAACACAAACTGTTTAAATAATTCTCAGGGATCACATCGCTATATAGTAAATATTCTGGGACTGCGATATAACCTTGCTTTAGTGGCGCTCAATTTTGCAAGTGTTAAGAACTTAGGGCAAGCGTGAGTTTCAAAAACGCAGGAACGTGTATGTTTTAATCTAATTGTCGCAAAGAAGACAAGGCCTCTGTCAGCAGATTAGTTTTCAGCAATAACACTTAAAGGTGCCCTGAACAAATAAGTTTATCACATCGCATAAAAATCTCGGTAAATTGCAGGGAGGTTAAAGAAGTAATAGCAGCGGTTTGGTTCGAGGTTAAACTTAAGACATATGAATAGCGTGAGGCAACCTGAATCATAAGAATATGCGTTTTCTCCAGTCTACTCAGAAAGCGCTATGAGATTATGCCTGCTGACAGGAAAACAAGTCGTCCCTGACTTGGTTTTAAGGAGATATGAGATTGCAAAGTAGTTCCCGAAATCGCAACGCCAGGGGCTGGTATGGGGCACACCCCGTGGACAGTAAGGTCGTCTGCTGAAGTACCTGGTGGAAGTTACTTCTCCGACAGACGGCATATCTCACGCTAGGAAAATATCAAAATGTCATTTTTGTCCAGCATACGTCTAAATGGCTGCTTACGTCGGAAAAATCCCGTCATTAGGTATAATGCATTCCTAGTTATTTACGCCTTTTATCTATTACCAAAGTAGCATGTTGTGCATAGTAATTTTGATCCTGTCGGTTCTCACATGGCGTGCTTTAAAATATTCAAATTACTCGCACTTTCCCCATTTTACACTATTCAGTCAATTGTAGGAACTGATATGTCGCACTCAAGATCTTTTCACATCTGGACACATCAATGGGCAACGGTAGGGTGTACAACCATATTAACTTGAGCTAACCTGTGTACTGTGTCCTGCATTGAATTATGTTGGAGAGGGCTTTACGGGTGCGGCAAGACACGTAGGACAGAGAACTAAAATAAACTTCTGTCGAGGGTCTCCTCGTACGCCAGCAATTGCAAAAAAACAGTGAGCGCGCTAATTAACAAACAAAAAAATCAATTTTCAAAAAATAACAGACTGAACTAACCGCTGCCGGTAGGTTTT